GATTCATTACTGCAAACTGAACATCCCCTCGCTCTCATGAAAAGCGATGTATTCTGATACATGATGGCTGTTAGATATGATCATCAGAAGATACAATTGGAAGACCGTTGTGACTTATGATATCAAGTAATACCTGGGAATGACATTTTTAAAGTGTACTGTCCGACTGTGTCGATCCCAATCTCTAAACAAGAACTATATGTACCAAAAAAAAAGACTCAATCAATATCATTGAATGTTGTCAATACGCAGGTGTTACATCCGAGTTTTCCTTCTCCTACTTGTATAGCTTAACGACTGATAAGGGGTTCAACGCCCCCAGTGAGCTTAATATGGATGCTTGGACACTACAACCCTGATACTTCTATATCATATAGGAAGAAAATGAGTAACTACCGACACCGAGGTTCGAGCGTGACACGCTGGACTTATGAATATATACTTTCCGCCAGGTGTATAAATAGCGTTGTCAGGCTACTGACTGCGGTGATTATTGAGTGTAACTATCCAGTCGAATTAGTGTGAATTATTGTGCGTTGATGATTTGGGTTTTGATTTTAGAATTTACCGGACATTAAACCGAGCCAAGCCAAGGTATTCATTGAAATGGTTAATTATCTTTGATTGACTTTTACTTCTTTGTTCATGTTAAGTATTTATTTGCGGTTGTAATTAAATACTGTTATATCTTAACATTGAAGTCTTGGATTACACTTAATTTTTAACGGCTTCCGTAAGACACAAAATTCTACAGCTCATAACCTGTTGGAGATGACCTTTGAACCCATGACAGGATTCAACCATCCTTTAAAAGGTTTTGCTTTTAATCCTACTGCATGTCTAGACACATGCTCACCCCACAAAAAAAACTTGTGGGGAAACCGATTTAGTCGCCGATAACGCGACCATGTGTCAGGTAGTACTCGGTTCCTTGGTACCACTGGCACTCATCCATACATACAAACATATATACATAAATACATATAAACATATATACATAAATACATACAAACATATATATATATATATGGCATACACGCATAAACATTTTTAAACATCCGGCACATCAGAATTTTATGCATTATTTTATTTTATTTTATTTTATTTTGCGGGTGGATGTTCTTGGTCGAGGTCAGAAAATTCACAATATTCTCCTAAAGGCACACACAGCATGTAAATGCTGCGATGGATAAATTGTCGTCTAAATGACTCCAAAATGAAAATGACACTGACATCTCATTTTAACAGATACATTCATCAAAATTATACAAAAATATCTTGAAATACTAAAGAGTAAATTTATTCAATAAAATCGCCATTGACTTCATTCACGACCCCCAGATGATTTCCAAATCTCCTGCAACTCTTTTGGACGGTCTCCTTGTTTAAGTTGGTGAATGCTGCCATAATCATTGCCTTCCGTTCATCTTTTGTGTTACAAGAAGTTTTGTTGGTCTCTCACTCAATTGCGTCCCACACATAATAATCAAGGGGGTTGCAGTCTGGGGAGTTAGGTAGCCGGATGTATGGGGTGATGTGGTCGCAGAAATTGTCTGATAGGCATGACTGGGTTCTCTTGCTTGTGTGACATAGTACAGAGTTCTGTTGCCAAACATAGGGTCTTCCAGCAGCCATCCTCTTGACCCAGGGCAGCACTACCTCCTCAAGGCACTTGATGTAGGCCTCCGTGTTGAGTCTGTGGCCCTGTGGGAAGATGAATGGAGGCATAACGCCGCCATCGCTAGTGATTACTCGAAGGACCCATGTAATCACCTTTAAACTCATCCAACTCTTTCCAAATCCTCTGCACTGTCCTCAGACTGACACCCAACCAATTTGAGATGTTCGTATTGGAGCTTCAGGCGCGAATGCCAAGTAGTACAGTATGCCGTTTCCAAATTTATTTGTATTTGCGATAGAAATAATTTGTAAAAAGGATTAGAAAGAAGTAAATCTATATTTTGTAAGGATTTATTGAAATTTTATTTAAGTTTTTACATGTCCTCCATCATTAGCAATACATAGGATAATACGATTTTGCAGTTCACGGAAAACATTTGCCAACTGATTTACAGTAATGCCTGAAATCACATTAGTTATTTTAGCTATACTTAAAACTAGGTACTTTAAACTTTATAACATTTTTACAGATTATTTCTATCGCAAATACAAGTAAAGTTATAAATTGTTTAAAGTGCACACAAACTTTATGGACACCCTGTATATCAATATCTTACAATTGAATACGATATGCAGGCTCTTGGCATTGTTTGCCAAAAATGACTAACCAATGTTATAATCTTGCTCAATATACAACGGACAGATTCATAAACAGTGTTTGCCGTATCTTAATAAAAACGAGACAAGTATGCGTGGAACAGTTTCCCTGTGTGATAGGACCGATTATTGGTAGCTTGAAATTAAGTCAGTTCCTTTTTTAGTTAGTCTGGAACTGACTTTATTCTAAACGTCAGTCGATCGATTCTATCGCGTTACGCGTACGATTGTCAAGTTAAGATTTTTTTTTAAAAAAAGGTGATATTTATAGTACATATATAATGTTTGTACTTCAAACCCAAGAGGCCCCTAAATGCTTTCATTGTTGTTCTTGTTCGAATTAATAAAAAAAAATGATTCGACAATAATTGGTCTCTGACGAAGGATTGGCCGAAAGGTTCCTTAGATTTTTTTTTTTTAGTATTAAGATGCTTTCATCGGAACTATTCAAGGGTTTAGTAAAATCAAGTCATGGTTGAAATATATATATATATATATATATATATATATAGTGTTGTGGCCTGTTAAGAAGAAGGTAGGTTGAACAAGCGTATTGAAATAACAGAACATATATACAAAATAAGAGTGTTATTAGCTAACAGATAGAAGTGTCCGTCCGAACTGTCAGGTTACACTGCGTCCCGACTGCCGATATTTAACAGTCCCCCCACGCGGGATGTGTGTGGCACAAGGCCGAGTTTACCGTGGGTTCACCGAGTCCGTAGGCTCGTCCAAAAATATCCCCCACAGAACCTGCATTAACAGGTTTGGGTTTGTCTACCTCCTCGATCGAAACTCTGCCCTTCGGCATAGCTTCGTCCGTGTTCCTCTCTGCCAAAACAGAGACTGCGCCCCGACTGCCAATATTTAACAGTCCTCTCACGAGGAATGTATGTGACACAAGGTCGAGTTTACCGTGGGTAATATTCCCTTTGAACCGGCATAAGCGGGTTCGGTATCTGTCTACCTCCCCGGACGAAACTTTGTCCTTCGGTAAATCTTCGTCCGTGTTCCTCTCTGCCAAAGCAGGGAGTTCGACAGAAGTCGCACACAGTCAGAGACTGCGTGTCGAATGCCTCCTTAGGAAGTCTAGTATTTATTAAGGAGGAAGAGTTCATTCAAATGTCGATGGGTCACCATAACTTATATACATATATATATATATATATATATATATATATATATATATATATATATATAGGGTGTATTAAAAATACTTTTACCAAACCTTGTTGGCTGTTTCCTCATTCGTGTACATTTGTGACAAGTCTTTCTTCAACGGTTAACGTGAGTAGTAGTGAGTTAACTGAGAAGTGCCCCGTTTAACAATGGCAGGATATTCATATCATGAGCAGGTAGATATGATAGTAATGGACGCGAATCTATATCAGATTGCGTTTCAAGACCGAAGGCAGCCGAGTCATCCAACGTTTGTGGCTTTTTATCCTCGCGTTGCCGAGAGAGGATCCGTGGCAGCATAAAACTATGGATCGAGGAAGACCGAGACCCTCTCGTATGACTGATCACAAAGAACACATTCTACAGGCTGAACATTTAAGACTGTTTAGGTGTCAATCTCGCACTTCTCGTCTATGGAACTGCTTTTCTCTTACTTGCTTCCCTGATAGCTATAATCTTCAAATATTCAAACGTAATGTCAATCGACATCTTCTGATGCCTTGATCCTGACCCCCGTCCTCCCCTTTATCCTTTCCTCAAACACCCCTCTTTACTCTTGCTCCCACCCTCTGTCACCCCTTGCGTGCTAGTGGCACCCTCGCCTTGCGTGGGGTGAAAGGCTTTAAAAAAATTATATATATATATATATATATATACATACACAGGATGTCCATAAAGTTCGTGTGCGCGTTAAAAAATTTATAACTTTACAGGGCACACGAACTTTATGGACACTATATATATATATATATATATATATATATATATATATATATATATATATATATATATATATATATACATATATATATATATATATATATATATATATATATATATATATATATATATATATATATATATATATAAGCATATTTCTGTTTTGTTTTGTATTATTTCAGCTTTTTCTTCAATATGTTGGAAAGCCATTAGTTTAGGAGTTTTAGGAGTGTTCAGTTGCTTTTATTTATTGCCTTCGTTACGAGAAGGGAGTATATTTTAATTTTATAAATTGTATTTGCTATTGCCATTAGCAGTATCAGTAATTCTACAAAAAAAAGTTTCATCGTGCTGACCCTCATTACCAAAAACATCAAAATCCATCACCCATGATATGCATTATTATCTACTTATTGACCATACCATCGTCACTATGATGGCTACAGCCATCAGTTCCACACCAGCATCTCTCGTAAGCAAAGAGAGGACAAATGTCGCAGCAACACGACAGATGTCGCCATCTGTTGGACATAAGGCTTATTAGGTGTCCCAAAGGATGTCAAAACGTGCCATCTTAGGAGTTTCTTGATAAAAAAAGGATACAGTAATAACAGATGAAAGCAAAGCAATTGGGACTATAAAAAGTGATGTTGCTGCAAGGACACTGAGGATGAAAAAAGTAAAGAAAAGAAATAAATACGAAACAGAAGCGAATAAGTGAAAGTGAGATGAGAAGAACCACGACAAAAAGAAAGAAAGAAAGAAAGAAAGAAAGAAAGAAAGAAATTATACACAAAAAGAGTGGTTGAAAAAGAACATTTTACAAAGATAGATTAAGAAAGAAAGAAAGAAATAAAGAAAGATGGTACACAAATAGAAAGGTTGCAAAAAGAACAAAGTTTTTACAACGGTAAATCTAAAGAAAAAAGAAAGAATAGGAAAAAGAATGAATAAAAAAAAATGATTTTACAAAGATGATAAATAAACGAAAGAAAGAAAGAAAGAAGAAAAGGAAAGAATGAAAGAAATAAAGAAATTATACACAAAATTGAGGTTGAAAAAGAAGATAGATTATGAAAGGAAGAAAGAAAGAAAGAAAGAAAGGAAAGAAGGAAGGAAGGAGGGAAGAAAACATGGTGCCCAAATAGAAATGTTGCAAAAAGAAGAAAGATTTTACAAAGATAAATTGAAAGAAGAAAGAAAGGGTAGCAAAAAAAATCTCGAATAAGTACAACGATTTAACAAAGAGAATAATTAAAAGAAAGAAAGAAAGAAAGAAAGGGTAGGTAGATGGCTCGATAGATAGGTAGGTAGAAAGAAAGAAAGAAAGAAAAAAAGAAAGAAAGAAAGAAAGAAAGAAAGAAAGAAAGAATGGGAATTTTAAAAAGAACGCGAAAAAATAGTTTCTAGTCAAATAGAAACATCTAGAAAAAAAGAAAGAAAAAAATTGAAGAAAAAGTCAAAAAGAAAATGCAAACGATAAAAAACAAAAAAATGAAAAAAAAAAAAAGAAGAAAAACCATGGGGTGGTGGGTGGTGGGATGCTAAGGTGATAAAATAAAAAAATAAACAAAAAAAAAAAAAACAGAATGAAAAGAGTGACGGGAAGTGAAAGTGTGAGAGAAATGGTGAAGCCGAAAATGAAAGGTGGAAGTAGCTGTTTGAGGGAAAGTAAGAGGAGAGTGTAAAGACTAGAGGAGTGTGAGGTGTGGCAGAAGGTGGATGCTTTGACTTTCGAATGCTGCGTCGAGCGAAACATGCAAGAAAGTGGGCGTCCCGTGGCAAGGTCGGCCAACAGTTGACGATCCGTGCTCAGTGCGTTGGTGAAAAAGAGTCGACCGGTGAGTGTGATTTGGAAAAGGACTGGACGAAGTTTTCACGGACATAAAAGAAAAAAAAAAAAAAGAGAAAGAAAAAAAAAAAGAAACCAACAAAAAACAAAAAAGTCTAAAAAAAAAAAAGTGGGAAGTTAAGATCAAGAAAACAGGCTCAGGAAAAAAATGTAGGGAGAGGAGAAAAAAAAGGAGAGTGTGTAGAGAACGAAAAAGAAAAAAAGAGAAAGAGAAATAGAAAAGGAAGACAGGGAACAGATTAGGAAGAAGTAAAGAAAGAGTAAAAAAAGGTCGACGAAAAAGAAAGAAAAAAAGAGAAAAAAAGAAGACAAACAGACCAGAAAGAGTTTCAAAGAAAGAAAAAAAAAAGGAAAGAAAGTGTCTAGAGAAAAGGAGAGGAAGTTGGAGGAGAGGAAATAAAAAAAAAAGAATATCTAATGACAGTGTGAGAAAAAAGAATCGGTAAAACCCGGCAACGACTGGCTTACCGGTCTGAAAACCGAGCTGAAGAAAAGTCCACTATATAAATCCAACACCCTGGCCAACAAAACTGTAGATGAGTGCGGTGTTGGTGGCGACCAGTACTTATTGGTCAATGAAACACAGTGGCAGTGTAGCCTACTGGCTCCTTTTGTCTGCAGTTCTTTCTGGGATTTCTTTCGCTAATTTCGGATATCCGACCCCCAAAGCGATGGCGGACGAAATGTCAAATTTGGCCAAACTTGACCGATACAATCTGGCCAAGAACCACGGGTAAGTGGCTACTGAATTTCACACCTGTCTCGTCTTTATAAATCAACTCATTATTCCCTTTTCATATTTACCCCTCACTTTCACTCCCTATTTCTTTCTCTCCCTCTTTTCCTTTCTCTCTCCCTCTCCCACGTCTGTTTCGATATACACCCGCATCTTTTCTTTCTTCAACAAGTCCTCAATATCATATCAATCTCTCTTTCTCTTTCTTTCTCTCTCTCTCTCTCTCTCTCTTCGTTCTCGCGCCCTGTCTGAGTTGTATTGCGTTTAATATTACACTCACCGTTTATCCATATTCAATAATACCTCTTCCTTGTTTTGTTCCTTTTCATTATTACTGTATTATCTTTTCTATGTAACTACTTGTATGGATTTGGGTAAGAGTTGAGTTCTTTAGATCAAACTTTTAGGTACAAATATCGTTCAAGATGGAGAAAGTTTCCGTCCAAAAATTCAGCTTTTTTATTTTATTTTCTCATCATGCTTCTATTTGGTTAAAAGACCTACTGATATACAATAAATGTCATTATCAATATTATTACTGTTGTTATATTTTATCTCACGAATTTCTTTCACCGGCCTATATATATATATATATATATATATATATATATATATATATATATATATATATATATACAGTTGTGGAGACAATTATTATGTGCATTTTTCACAAATGATGAAATAGCGGATTTGAATGTGCAGTGATGTCCATAAAATTTTTATTTTAATGTCAAAC